TCATCATCTATTATTTGTCTATCTTCATAATTTTTATACCTTGCAAAATTTTTATATGAATAAAACAAGTCCACTTGACATCTGTTTCTTACCTGTTCCATTTGTTTTCCATATACTGAATTATTCATGAGTTTAAAAAAGTCCTTTTCAAAATCATTTTTAGCTTCTTGTCTAAGTTTTGTGTTTAAGTCAATGTAGGACTTCAGCCATGCTTTTTGCCTAAATGATATTACTTTTTTTATATCTTTTAGGATTATTCCTTGATTAAGACATTCTTGTAACATTCTATAATCAATTAAATAATTATTCTTTGATTTTAACGTGCACATAAGTTTAGTACCATTCGGGTTTCTACCAACTCCGTTAAATACTATAGGTATTTTACCTATACTATAGGTATTTTATCTATACCTTCAGATATCAATTCTTTTTGATATTCGGATAATTCATCATAACTAGGTACATAATGTTCGGGTAACATTGGATAATTTTTAAATTTATCATGTAATTCCAATGGGATATCTAAATCAACGAGAAACGTATAACCATATTCCTCATCATAGGGTAAGCTCTTAATTGTTTCAAGAGTGAAATCATTTACATCTTCATATTTAAATTCTCCTATAGGAAGAGGTTGACTAAGCGCATATCCATATAGATTATTAGCACCCAAGTATAAAATATAGCTAACATGCTTTTTGGTGTTATATATACCTTTTTCTATCGCTTTTTCTTTGGATAGTTTAACAGTCTTTCCAATTTTATTATCATAAAAGTAACAATTATTAGCTAGTGCATATCTGTGTGGAATTATAGATATTCCGCCTCTTATTCCAGTTTCATATGTTTCGTACATTTCCCTATCTGATAATAATTCTAATGTTTGTTCAGTGTATTTTAATGAAGCATCATTAGCAAAATGTGGAGCAGATATATAATATATGGGGTCAAGCCCATATTCTTTATAGCATTTTTCTCTAAAGTTGTCAAAAACGTCATGTAATAAAACAGTATCTAATTTCAAGTATAAATTATGATATTCTTTTACATTTTACATTTAAAATGTCTATATACTTTATG